AAAAAAAAAAAAACTTTTATTTATGAGAACTTTGTATCATTATCAATTGATATAGATTTCTTTGAGTGTGGAAAGATTCCTGTAAAAAATATTTAAAAACTTGTTGTTCTCTATTTATCATTTGCCCTTATTGATTATTAAAACAGTCTGAATAGCATCACGTAAAATATACATTTAACTAAATAGGTCAAATGTAATTCAATCATACGTTCCAAGTCGTCGTCGCAATTAAATACGCGAATCAATCATGCTACAGAAGGATTAGACAATGTTGAACGACAACTTCAATCAATAGTGGAATTGATTTTACCTGCAAATCAAGCCAAAAGTAACTTATGGCGTCTGGTAATGAATGGGAAATCTAATAATTCATTTACTGCATCTGTTTTTTGTTATTATAAAATATATAATGATTTACATTTAATAATAAATTCAGGACCGAATGATGATTTAGTTGGTTATATTGTCAAGTTGGATCGACTTAATGATGCTATTATATATTTTAAACGTACAGCAGTCATCGATGAGCAAAAGCGTTTAACTCAATTGTATGATGTTGGACGACAGAAACTCATCGAAGCAAGTGATGAAGTTATCATGAGACATACTAATCCAATATTACCTAACGAATTACTTGAATTGTGTCGGTCAACATCATCACTATCAATTGATACTGATAGCATGCAAGGTTAGAGAATTTGAAAAGGAACTTTCTAGACAACTATACTTCTTTATAGTGCCAGATTTAGGCTCATTTCGCATTATCTTCGATTGGTTTAACGAGCATGGATTTCAACAAGGTCTTATTAATTCTTATGCTTCAAAGAGAGGCACCCTGAGTCGAAATTCTCTTAAATCGTATGTATTTTTATTTTCGATAGGCACATATTTTTCTTTTTGTTTAAGGCTAGCTGAACATTTACAGCGAAATTGTGCCCGTCGTGCGTCAGTCAGTATGACCTGCATTCGCTCTCATACATCCTCACGCCGAGCTTCATACTGTTCGGAATTATTACGTGGAAAAATTAAAACAAAAATTGAGTAAATTAATCGACTTTTTTTCATCTTTTATGTAGTTTCTTTTTGCGTTATTTTTTCTCAGTGGAATAGGACGTCGTTTGACGCTGTCACCTTTGCTCGATGGTAGAAGACCTTCATTGAAAAATACATTGTTACCACCAGAAATGGACACATACAATGATCATAATGTTGATAATTTATCATCGTCAGTGCGTTTTAGCAGTGATCGGGAAACGAACAATTATAAATTTTTACTCGATGCATTTGTTGTACTTCTGTTACATGATTCGGATTTACTTTTCTATACCTTCTCAAATGAATTCAACTCATTAATCTTCATCAAATCAATCGAATTACCATTGGCATATATGCATGACGAAGCACAACAATTATGTAAAGCTATCGAACGATTACCGTCTAAAATAGATAGTGGAAAAGTTGCTTTTTTTGGTCTTCTTTCAATTATTCGATGGTTTCACAAGTCTAAACCTGTTTTTACCAAGTTCTATGATGTAAGATGAACTATTTAGTAAATAGTATCGATATTTCTGAATTGACTAACAGTCAACTATATTTTGATTTATATATAAAGAAAATGAACATGAGTGATCTTGGTGAACATTAACACACACACCTGTTTTTTTTTCTTTTAGGAAAATGATCTAGCACCTGAACATCAATTCGGCAGTGCACTCTCAGCCGTATTTGAACATTCAGTAAGCAATTTGTTTGACATTTTGTTTTTTTTTTTTTAATATACTTATAGATCATTGAATGTCTACGCATGATATTGGAAGAAGTTCGAAACGACTCATCGGATATAAATCAAGGCAGCCATATACATCCATTAGCGTTACATGTATTAAGTTTTATGGAAGGTCTTCTTGACTATGAAGATGTAATTACTATTATTGGATCCAGTCGTATCGAAGAAAAACAAAGTAAAATAGATTTGTTTATATGCTATATACATCGGTTTTGTGTGTTAATTCATGTTTGATGTTCTTTTATCGTTTGTAGACCAATGTCTTTTAAATTTGAAAAATTATTTTAGTAAGTATTATACTTTTTCTATTTCACATTATCTCATCATACAAATTTCAGCTGATTTAATTCAAACGCTTCGTGCGAATATTACGACGAAGATACAAACGTTCATTCCACGTAACGAGGGACCTATACGAGCAATATTTATTCTCAATAATGTTAATTATCTTCTCAAACGACTACAAAGGTAGTAGAATAATCTGTTTTATATAATTCTATCTTTGTTTTGTCTATTATCTAGTTCATCTTTGTTAACGATGATTAACAAAACGGAACCAAGTCTCGAATCACAATTAGAAGAGACCATGCGAAAAGCTGTAAAAGCGTACTTGAAATGGTATACCAGAGCCCGAAATGGGGCCCCGGGCCAGGGAGCATTTTTGGCTGGACGGGGCGAGAATTTGCGTCGAAAAGCGAGGCGGGGCGAGGGAGAGGAGACAAAAAAACTTAGGTCAGGACGAGCCGGGGGACGAGGCGACTAAAAAAATTTACGTCGGGTCGAAGCGGGGACGGGGCATGGCAGAATGAAGTAGATTTCTGGAAAAATTTCTTGTTCTTCAGTTTCACATTCAAAATTCGTATATGCATTAAGGAAGAGTCGATGAAAGTCGGGGCGGGGAGGGGTTGGGGAAGCAAAAGGAAATAAAGAGCGGGGCGAGGCGGGGTCGGGGAAGCAAACAAAATAAAGAGCGGACCGAGGCGGGGTCGGGTAGAGACAGCTTTCGACGGAACGGGGCGGGGAGCGAAAAATCCGCCTCGTTTCGGCCTCTGTGGTATACTATGCAAAGTATTTTTCTAAACAAAACACATTTTAATTAGAAAATACACAAAATTCGAGGAGTTTTTATTTGTCATGTTCACAGTCAAACTGCATAAATTAGATTTGAAGTTTTCATGTCAATTGAAAATTGTCAAACATCGATGAAAGCAAATACAGAACCTTCCTGCTTAGCAATAAAAAGAGAAATTATCTCTGTGCATTGTAAAAACTTCTCATGACTGTATATTTGATAAAGATCAGAAATATATACATAGAAATAAAATATCTCATCATGTGTTTTTTTTTCTATTCAGTTATACACCTTTTATCATAGCTATGCGAGAAATGTTAAACTATGACAATATGAATCATCTCTCAGGCAGTCAAGTTAGTTAATTTTGATTTTGATTTTCTTCATTAATATTTTTCTTTCTTTTAGCTGAGTGAATCTGATCGAAATCAATTGAAAACAAGTTTTTCAACGGTGAATACAACTATTGATACCCTTCGTCAACAAAATCAAGAATATATTATCGATGATATTCAAATACGTGATCATTTGCGAAGTGAAAGCAAGAAATTAGTTTTGGATATGTTCAAAACATATTATACAAAATTTACACAGAATAATTTTTTTTCCAAATCAGAAAAGTATTTACGATACAATCCATTAACGCTCGAATCTGTAATTGATGGTTTTTTCGAACACTAATTCTGATTTTAAACAAGAACAAAGTTACATTGATCGACAACCAAACATATTCTTTATCGTTTTTTTTTTGTGTTTCCAGAATTTTTTGAAATAAGTTTCAATCTATTACACATTCATTTCAGAAACACAACGAACTTAATTAATCCTAATAAAATTCTTTACTTTTCTGTGAAAGAACATGAACGATTGGCGTAGAAGATATAGATAATAGTTGAAAAATTATTAATCTATTTTATTACTCAAAAAAAAATGATTTACTAGTATGAAGAATGTTAGAAAATATATTTGAACTAATTATTGATTGAATACTTTGATATAACTGAACGACAAATTTGTGTATACGGTGAATATTTTATCGTAAAAAATAATAAGAATTTTAATTAGTAAAAGTTTGAAATGAATATATAATTCTGCCTCATTTTGCATATAAATTTCATAGATGATGTATTATTATATTCATCAGCAAAATAAGTAAATCATATTATAATTCAAGATTGTTTTCGTATTTGTCTAAAAGTGCTTCGATCAACAAATACTCATAAGTTTGTGAAGCGAGAAGAAAAATCGAATATAACAAGCTTCATTGAGTAACGTCATCTACGCAAAAAAAAATATTTTTCTTTTTTACTTCTCTGCAATTGGAGATGTGGTCTATTTACCTTTTGTTTGTCAAAGTAAAATATCTTGTATTTTTATCGTCTATCAAGCCAAACAAGCACGCTTGTAAACGGTCGTAAATTGTCGTCTTTCGGCGCATTATATGGCTTCGTATTACGATTGTATACAGTGAAATATGAAGTATATAATAATTTCGTAGACTCTGTCTTGAGCATTTCAGTGAGTTTCGTGCTGATAACCTAACTGTTAACGAAATATTTTCGTGTTCAAAAATCAACGAATAGTAGAAAATGAATCGATCTGAAATAACCTATGGGTAGACACAACTAAATTCTCGACACTTATTTGACCCACAATCTATTTCGAAAATAACTCAGATTAGTTTTGTTGCTGAAATATGAATGATTAATTTTAGATAAAAATATTCATATTTCAATCCATTGACGCGAGTAGAATTTGAACAACCGATATAACAGAACACAATGACTTCATTTGTCGTTAAATTTCTTGACGGTCATATTATTGTTCATATGAACCAGTTCGACTACATCGTAGACACTGGTTCTCCATTCTCATTTGGACATGAAACAATCATTGTCATCAATGGAAAAAACTTCTCGATAAATAGTGCTGCTCCTGGTGGACTTACAATCAATTCAATTAACGAACTCAGTAGACTTCAAGTTGATGGACTAATTGGTATGGATATTCTTGCTCATTTCGATATTCGTTTTACCCGAAATCAAATCACTTTTTCTGATGTACCTATCTTGTATGCAGATACAGCAATCAAATTACCTATTGTAGACACCGTGATGAACATACCTATTATAACTTTGAATATCGGACAGGAAGATCGAAGAATTTTTTTCGATACCGGTGCAAAGCTATCGTATTTGAGTGAAGATCTTCTTGTTGGTACCCCGATTGGTGAGATGGACGATTTTTATCCCACAATAGGTACTTTTACAACAAATGTTTACAAAATCGATGTTGTTATCAATAGAAAAGTAGAAACGTTAACATTTGGCTCATTACCATCGTCAATTCGAATGTTATTAGTGATGGGTCAAACTAAAGGAATTATTGGAACTGAATTATTAAATAAATATTCTATAATTCTTTCTAATTTGAACAAAATCTTGGTATTGGAACCATCCAATGAAGGAGAGTCATTCGATCAGCAGCAGAATTTTAACAATGGAGATTCCCGATCTAAAAAAACTTTGACTTTAGTACGAGAAGTTAGTTTGGATTAATTTTGATGTCCTTCAATGGTGAATCTTAATTTAACTATAACTTACATCAGATTGAAGATATTTTTTTTTTACTTTCATATTGATTTTTGTCTCGATATAAATGTCACCCAGTTTATAGAATACTCTGTGAATGTTATGGAAAAAAAGATTTTTTCATTTTTCAGAAGTAAAGAGTAGTAGCTGCTAATAATCCCAAAATATTTTGATCACAGCTTCTTCGTTGATTTCTTTTCCGATCTGTATTGAAAATAATGATTATGAACAGTAATCATACAATGTTATTTTTCTCTACTTTTAACCAACGTCAAATTGTTACTGTGCTGCTTCTTTTAATGTTCTGAAATACATTCTATTTCATTCGTCCCAGTAAATATCGTTGGAGCAGATTATGATACACAATTGACAAAAACATCGGTCCTAGCTCAATGATTTCTGCCGCATACGATGGCTTTACAACGTGCTTTCTGTAAGATCCACTAAACTTCTGGAAGGACCTGGCCGCAAAATATTGAAAACATGAAAGCACTATTCCATACTGAACAGTCATCGTAATCTGACATCCAACATGACAAGTAAACGAAACGCATATGGACTATTTTCTAATAGAGTGGATATGAGTTTGGACGAAGTAATGAACCACATCCACATCCACGATTTGTGTACATAATAAATTTGTACTGTATGATTTACAATGATCATTTATTTCATCATCATGAATTTCTTTATGAGCCAGTTGATATTTAGCCACGACCGGCATCCTCAAGGAAGTGCTCAATCAAGGCCTCAGATCTTGCTCAATTTAAGACATATGAGAGAGGGAAGAATTTTATGAATTTTGACGCAAGCTAATTTTTTTTTGTGGATGTATATATCAATGAAGTGTGTCGACAAAAAAATTCAGTTCAAATGGTTGAGTCCTTAATATTCCATGAATCTCACATATGCAGGCTAAATCCATTATTTTAGACAATTTTGGAACTTCATATCTCATGAATAGAAAGAGATAAAGGTCTGTAATTTCCACTATGGAGAGAACTCATAGAGATGTATCTTCAATAAAAATTTGTTCATGAAGAGTCCGATTTGATCGTACATACATTCTTTACGGTTCAAATTCGATTGGTTTCATTGAATGATAAAACAATATATCAACCGTTAAGAAGCAAAGTTAACATCCATCTATATTTTCATACTTTTCGATATGAATAATACAAAATCTTTTCGAATTCGAATATTTGAGTTTGGTATGTGTCTACTATTGACGATGCAACGAAAGGAAACCTTCCTAGTTTGGTATCGAGATACTTCAACAGACGAATGAAGGTAAAAGAACTTTTCACTTTCGATTCAAAAATGATTGCACAATTTGACAGACAATATTTTCAGTATCAAATGAATTTCAAACGATATTATTGACATAAATTAGACTTTGTTGATGATAAATCACGAGTCTTGTACTTTTTTATCGGATAAAGTTTGTCAACCTACTTCTATCGAAGTCTCACTCAGGTATCCAAAATAACAAATATATTTCTCTTCTTCTGCATGTATCATATAATAGAAATTGATATTTTTGCGTAAATGGCTTTCAATTCTTCAAAAAAAATGTACTAACAATAGACGAAAACATGACAAACAGTACTCGAACACTTCTGCACACATTTTCTTCAATATATGCTTATGCAATCATCGTCATCGAAATGTGTTGGACGATTTCTATTAACAAATCAATTTTCGAAGAATCGATAAAGACCGCTCGCTCACTATTTTCTTCATCCGTTCTCTTCTATGGGCAGTCTTTCTTTCTTTCTTTTTCTTGCAGTAATAATCGATTCTAGAATTTTTTTGTTCTTCAGTAACTCATGTCATCGCAAGCAGCCACTGGAGAAAAAAACATTGACAACATGATTTTGTCAGATGTCTATACGACCATTAAATGAATAAACTACCTACCGTAAGATTTCACTGCCTGATTTTTTTTTGCTACGAAATGTATTATTATTAGTAAAATATTGATCAGTACATGGTTTCATTTTGTCTATTATGAGAAGAGAATGACATAAAAAAACTGATATGTGCACTGATCGGCTTGTAGATCTCTGAAAGCTATTGTACACGATTTTGAGAAATTGACTTCAACAATAGTATATAGTTTCAACGAGCAACGCAACTAGGATTTCGTTGCTAAGTAGCGAGATGTTCCGTATCCAGTCAGGCAAGATCCCTAAAAAAATGCATTAAGACGCGTGAAATTTTTCTAGATTTCCACATTTTAACCCATTTCCACGGCAACTTTTACGAGTTTTACTGCTTTCAAAGATAGAAAAGCGTATTAACATGACAAGACTAACTAAGAAAATATTATTTTATGCATATTTTCTCGAACATGTTTCATTGCGTTGAATAATAATTCGTTACTTGCGTGTTAATGTGAATTAGAAACAAAACATTCACACCTACATCCTTACTCCCTAATGATGGGAGAAATTTTTGTTGTGTTTCTTTTTACATCCGATGATTTTACTCAGAGTAGACAAATAAATATCATTTAATTGTTTCTTCTGGCTCTTTGTACAATTAACTTTGCATATTTTGCTTTAGTCAATATTTTCAATCAGCAATACGATTTACTGACTTGTTTTTTTTTTGTGACGAGGCATACAGAGAAATTTTGCCACATACTAAAAATTACGTTTCCTTATCAGATAAGCGAATGCAAATATAAATTTGATGATGTAGACACAAAAAACCACGTTTTTTTGAGATTTTTTTGTTTGATGCCAGTTGACAATGTGCTTTAAGGTATTATAAATCGTCATTGCTTTAGAATAATTCAGTATATTGAGTATTTTGACTCTGAATAATTTAGATATTGTCATATGTCATTGTTGCCAGAAAATATTTCAAGTTCGTAAAAGTTTATTTTAATAATCCAATCGATTATATACACTTTGAAACGTAGGTTTCTTTTTTCTCTTCAATTCTACTTTGTCCATCTGCATTATTGCTGTTAATTTTCTCGTTTGTTTAAATGACACGTTCATTCCATCATCTATTTTTTGTATGATATTGTCATTTCTCTTTTTCACCCATAGTAGTGAACGATATTTTTTTTCGTAGTTTTTTATAGATGGTAGAGCGATAATCCAAGCGAGTGGCTGAATAGGAGATCACTCATTAAATTTTTAGTACTTTCATCGAAATCTTTTACTCTAACATAGGCAACACAGATACATGTGAAACGATCGAACGTTATCAATAATGTTAGTCTTTCGTTTTTCTGGCCACGTCAGCAGAGATAAGAGGGCAGTGAATAGTGTTTATCAAGTTTATTTCTTTTTACTTTTTTTTCTTATATCTTAATCTTAACAATGTCAAAAGAAATTACGTCTAAGTCTGTTTTAGCATTAGACTCCATAACAATACATTAATAACAATGAGTTACATCGAGTGCACGACTAATATTGTTTCTCTTCCTAACAAAAAAAGCGTAGAAAATAAATTTGATAAATATATTTTAGCATGTTGTTTAGTAACCCACTTCTTTAATAATGGTATCAATTAAGTACAATAAATTTTGTATGATAGTTCAGATGTTACGAATATATATTTTCTATGTCTGTCCGACTTTATATATTCGAAAAATCCGAAAAAACTCAACATGGCCCGAAATCTATGAAACAATCCTTATCTATGTTACTTTCGCAGAATGTATAGTAGTGTTAGATAAATTTCTTAAAGGTAGAATAATTTTTATCGTATATCTTTACATATTAGTAAATGTTCGGCTTTTGAATTGATTGAACTATAATTTAGATAAATTCTTATAAGATTTCAATTTTGTTACCATCTTCTAACAAATGACTTATTAGTTTGATTTTGATCTGTAAGAATGTATATCGAATTTAAAACTCAAAAGAATTTAAAATTTGACATAGGATCCTATGAATCAAAATTAAAGTTAAAAGTCATTTGCTACAAGATTCTTAGAAGGATGGGCTCTTTGGTAGATTTGAAGTATGAGTCACTCACATACTTCCACATTTCAATACCACAAATTTTTTTCTAATAGAGTCCGACAAGCGAATTTATTAACATCCTGTAAGGCATCTGTTGCTACATGATAAAATCTATGAACACTTTTTTTATTCTAGATGGAATGTCGTCATCCGATCGTCTAACTAAGTGAGTCTTGTGTCAAATGTGAGTAACTAATTCAAATTTTATCTTTTTTAAATTCAGTAGAAATACGTCGAATGGAATGTTTGCTCACAATAATATAGCATCTACATTTACATGTGATTGCGGACAAGAATATGATAATCAAATCGCTTTGGACGAACATAAGGTTAGCAAATATTGAAAATCGTTCACAAAAAGAATACAGTCATTTTAGAGAATGAACTGTCAAAATCGAGGATTTTTCTGTCAATTATGTGATGAAAAGTTGCCAACCTCCGAAGCTATGGGTGCTCATTTAATTCAATGTGGTAATAAGACTATTAAATGTTTCAGTTGTCAAAAATACATTCGACGAGGAGTCTATGCCTATCATGTGGACAACAATTGTATCGATCTAGATGAAAACTATACAAATAGTAGCCGTTCTAACAGAGATAATTCAAGTTTTCATCGACGTAGGATTGAATTTTAATTTTTCTTTTATAAATCTATATACTCTGTTTTTCGTTTTTAGAAGACACTTCATCAAGTAGTATGGTAAGTAAATATACTGATTAATTTCGTAAAGAAAAATGTCACCGAATTCGAAACATGAAATTCTTTCTCAATGTTTTAAAAAGTCATAATGTGATCACGATAAATGCATTGATTTAGGGCACAAAAGGAACTGAATTGGAACCTTTAGATGAAATGAATACGTCTTTTAAAAGATTAGAATTAAATTCAGATAGAAAATTGGTCAACACTTCAGAGAAACAAACAGTACAGCCCAAAGAGAGTGCAATTTCATCTTTACACGGCAAAACTTCACAGATACAAGAAGATTTATGTAAGGATTATTATTCAATCGAAGTAAATCATATTACAGAAAAACTTCAATTCAATATTATTCTTATGGGTTCACCACGTGTTGGCAAAAGCCAACTTATTAATGCAATATGTAACGGTGAGAATAAAGCTGAAACAAGTTCTAGTTTGAATTCATGTACAAAAGAAGTATCATGTTATTTTTTGGAAGATAATCAACAACAAATGCCTGGTATAAAACCATTTCGAGTTAATTTTTATGATACACCCGGTATCGAATCATGGGCTAATCAAGGTGGTGTAACGACTATGCTTAAATTTATTGAAGATAAAGATCCTATTTGTGTTATGTATTGTGCTGCACCTGGAACATTTGCTGATTTATCACAAGTTCGTCCGGTATTGAAATTTTGTCAGGAAAAAAGAATTTTTTGGGCTTTCGTCTGTACGAATATGTGGTCAAATGTTTCTCGAAAAGAAGTTATTCGTGAATTTGAAAAAGAATTGGCTATTTTCGGTGATGGGACTGAGAAATTCTTTGATCAATTACATTCTCGCATTCCTCACAAAGTAACAATTTTTGGTAATAATGCACTTTGTACAATGGTCAATTCAATCGAATTTTATGATCCTGATTATTCACCCGAAAAAAAACCAGTACAAGGTATTGATGAACTTATTCATTGTATAATGGACGCACTCGATAATGATAAATTACTTGGCTGGTGTAGTGCTGTATTATACCGTCGTAGTTATTGGGAAAAGTTTAGTCAGAAGCTTACGGGTTTTGTTTCACTTCGTATGAAAAATATACAAAATATTACCAGTGGATCGATTCAGTCAATTGCAGCAAATACGATGATGTCTATTTTTAGCATGATCCGAAAACGTTCAGTATAATTTTGTATTAGATTCTTTTTTTGTCTTGGATTTCATTATTATGTAATAAAAGTCTTTTTGTTTTTTCGGTTTTTTTTTCTAGATAATTATTCTTACTATTAACTATGGCCAAGCAGTTTAATATAGCAATTTGTGGTTCAGCTCGTGTTGGCAAAAGTACTCTTGTTAATGCTTTATGTGGAAAAGAAGTAGCTAAAACAAGTAGTAGTTTATGTTCAGCAACTGATGAAATGAAAAAGTATGTGTTGAATCGATCTTGTCAATCAGTGAATGAAGCTGCAAGTTCAATTGAATATTCTATTACCGTCTGGGATACACCGGGTATTGAATCTTGGACAATAGATAATGTTCAAAAACATTTTACAAAAATCATGCTTGAAAGTACACCACTCTGTATGATTTATTGTGCATCTCCAGGTTCATTTGCTCGACTCGATCAATTACAATGGCTTGTTGAAACATGTATTAAATCAAATATTTTTTGTGCTCTTGTATGTACGAATAAGTACAGTGGAGGAAATCAACAACGTACTCAAGTATTGAATGATTTTCATTCGCTTCTTACTCATTATCACACTATGACACGTGACGAAGCCAATATAAAATATTATGGAAATGTTGCTTTGTGTACATCAGTGAATAGTATTATTTATGAAGATATAGATATTGGAGTAAGAAAAGGTGTCGAAGGTATTAATGAACTTATTTTTGGCATTATAACATCGTTGAAAGATGATAAGCTCGTCGCTTGGTGTTATACAATTGCTGAAAATCAATTGTTCTGGTCGACGATGCGTGATAAAGTTGTAGAATTATTCAATATATCTCGACCTATTCTGGAAGAACTTCTTCAAAAACATGGCAAAGATATTGCAAGATATCTAATCCCGTTGATTATGAAAGCAGCTTTTAAGAAATGATGAACTATAATGATCTACATCCGTTTGTTGCAATGTTTTGACTTTGTTTCTGTTTATCTTAATTCATGAATCGTGCCGTTCTCGGACGTATTGAAAATTATTCGTTTTAAGTCATTTATTTCATGAAGTTATATGCCAATAAAAAACTGATTGATTATATCAACTGCAATTAAGAGATACAATCGCCCTCTGCAAGTCATTTCACTCTTTCTTCCTAAATATACTCATTCCCAGATTCATGTTTGCTATAAAACTTGAGCTGAAGATTTTACTATTTCTTCGCACACACTGAAGTGTTTTCTAACTTGCAGTAGTGTCAAACTTGGAACTTGACTCCAGTTATTGAACTAGAGTTCAATTATTCAAATAATTGAATAGTTGAATTCAAGTATTCAACTTTTCGATTCAAATATTCAACTATTCCAAGATGCTACAGACATCACCTGGGATGCTACAGATATTACCTGAGATGCTACAGGCATCACATGGGATGCTCTAGATACTGTGTACACAGAGACGTGCATGGATCGCGACTCTTCTAGGCGCTTTGCGCCCTCACACTGCGATGCAGATATAAAAGGTCACTTTGGCGAGGAAAAGCGCTTCCTCCACCTGAATTTACTGCACCGATAATTTGCATAGTTGAATATTTGAATAATTGAATACTTGAATTCAACTTTGACATGTATGTATCAATCACGGATTTTGTCCGTTATTCACTACTTTAAAAATAAGTCCGGCGAAAAACTATTGAGGACGATGGAGAGCCTGAATGTGTGAGAAGTGTGGATGACGAGAAGCCTACCAGATCCTCATTCTCACTCACTCACTATCCATACCGACACCTGGAGAGTTAGAAAATACTAACTTGCGTCGAATTGCTTGAGTGTGAGCTCAGTTCGGGTGATTAGAAAAGTCAATATCATTCCCTCGCTACTATCAGAGAGCGAGAGACAAAAATTAAATATCTGATTGATTATCAATTTTTTTTCTATAAATAATTTGTTGCATTATATTTGTGATTAGTTTCTAGACAATAAAGACTCATGACAGAAAATTTCAATGAATCGAACATCCTTATTTGTGGTTCGTCTCGCGTCGGAAAGAGTACTCTTATCAATGCCATCTGTCAAAAAGAACTTTCAAAGTCGAATGCCAGTTTAAATTCTCGTACAAAAACTATCAATCGATATTCATCTCGAACTGTAGTTGGTCATATAACTCATGAAACTACTTTTTGGGATACACCGGGTATTGAATCTTGGAATGAAAATGATGTTCGTACTTATATGACATCATTAATTGAAAAAACTCATCCATTATGTATGATCTATTGTGCATCACCTGGCTCGTTCGCCATATTAGATCATGTTGCTTGGATAGTTTCTGAATGTCATCAGAAAAATATTTTATGTGCACTTGTTTGTACCAATATGTGGAGTGGTTGTAATCGAAAAAGTGTTGTAGATGGATTTTGTAAAATATTGAATACTGTTCATCCACAAATCAAGCCAATCAAAGAAGATGGTATTATCTATTACGATCGAGTTGCTCTTGTTACAATGGTTAATAGTACACAGTATGTAGATGAAGATTTTGGCGTTACAAAACCACCATTGGGCATCAATGAACTCATTTTTGGTATAGCTAAATGTTTGGAACGAGATTTTATGATTGCATGGTTTCGAACCGTATCTGAAAATCAATCATTTTGGACGACAATGTCATCGAAATTATGTGATCTATTCAAAGTACCATATGATAAATTCAATAGTTTATATCAACATGCCGAAAATTTTCTCGGTTTTCTATGTGGTTTTTCTGAATTTTACGACGAAAACACAACTTTACTTGAGCAATCTACAATAAATATCGATCCTAATGCTGCATTATTACCACAAACACTTACGGTGAATTTGGAATGTTGAATTTACACATGGAAAATGCTTTTTTTTACTCATTTCAGAATGAATCTTTGTTTTATGATGCCGAAATGATCGAAATACCGAACTCTTCTTCATGCACAAAGCAATTATTATTCACATTGAAATCAAAAGGTATCAAGTATGATTTTATAAAGAATCTTCTATTTATCTGAGTGTAGATATGATGATGCGATTCAACGATGCTTTGGTACAACTTGGTGCCAGTAAAATACAAAACTGTCAATCTGACGAAACAGATGAAGAGAAACTTCTAATTAAGGCTGAGTACATAAAAGTTTGACGGTTATTATTAAATCTACAAAAAAGTATTTTACTCCATGCTGAAGAAACAAGTTCTGACATAAGTTTGAAGACGATCTCAAAAATCTTAGAAAATTAATAAAATGCATATGCTGATATTCAGAGATCTAGAGCGGATGATACATCTTTTAGATGGTGCATGCATGAATCTTTTATTTGTTGTTCCTTTACCATTGTTTTCTCTGCTGAATGTGGAATTTTTAGAACAAAATCATCAGGCCTATTTAATGAATACATAAATATGCTCTTAAATAGAAATGTAGAAAGCGACATAGGAATAATACTAAATCTATGCATACTCTAATCATGACTTGAATTGACTATAGGAGTAACGTGCCATCAAATAGAATAGATCCAATTCTATGTAGTTAAATATGATTCTTTCGACGAAACAATATAAACACAGATGCAATATCGCTGCAAAATTTCATTCTTGTCAATTTTGTGAAATCATCTATGGCTCACGACATTTGTATTAAGACTTGATATGAGAATAAAACAAAATCATTTTACAATAGATATGATTAAACTTAATTAAATTTGTTCATGCTAAACATACCCATAAATCAATTGTTGATACCGTGAATAAGGGAAGCTCAAGTCACACAAAAATTATCGAGGAAATTTTTTTTTTTTATAATTTTTATATCTTTTATATTTTCAGGTTTCACGATGATGAACGTTTGAATGCAATATACGATTTTTGGCAAGTGATAAATCAAACTGAAGTTAACTGTATAATCGTGAATGACTCGTGTACTGATTAAAAGAGCAATATGTTGTAATCTACTGAAATTCAGAAAAACAACTTACAATGACTCATTGTTGCATTCATGTACTCATATTCTAACTCTTCCATAAATAATGTACACTTGTAATGTGAAACAAACTCGAAAATATTTTTCAATCAAATATAATGAGAACAGGTTTTTGTTCGAATAAAGTTTGATTCTACATTGGATGAATTATGATTGGCGATAGTAAATTGTCGAGGCATTGGGTAGGATTGCTACGTGATAAGTGCGCTCACCGCAAATTTTCATCAAATTTTAGGCTTAGTTCTCAAAACCTTGAAAATACAACGTCCGATAGTAAAGTTCATTGTAGCCTGAATATCTCATGAACGATTTGATTGATCAAACTGAGATTGCATCTATGGATATCAAATGTACGATTTTCGGCAATTTTGAGGCTTTATATCTCGTGACTGACAAGAAATAGAAGTCCGATATTTTCTGGGTAGATAGGACTTGTAGAGGCTTATTCTCAAGAGGAATTTGAGTTCAATGGAGTATTGTATTCACGCTAAATGAATGATCCAGGCAAGGGATCATCTTTGGGAGCCCAAATAAATGTGTTTGTTTATCGGGTAGTGAATCCTATGCTTGAAATTTCAATCTTTAACTAACTATCGTCTTGATCATTCTATCTAGGCAACTTTAGATGGAGAACACGAAGATTATTGTCCTGAAACGATAGCCCAAAGTTTGTCTGTGAAAAACTCAAGGTACCCTAAGAAGAGCCTGAAAGCATGTGCATCTTCATTGTTCAATGGAAAATGTGATAATTTTAGCTCCTTTCTTTTACGAGATTTCTCATCAAGCACCAAGATCACATGTTAATTTCAAACTTCAGGATGAACACATAGTGCATCTCAAAGAGTATCATCGAAAACCAATGCTTCCATTGTTTATATAATTAAAACTTTAAGAACTGCAGTTGTGAAGGATAAAACAAAACATTGTGATAGTTATACAGCTATCTATCAATCACAGAATAGAATTTCTCAGAATTTTCTTCTGCGATATTGTATTGACCTAAAAATAACGAGAATAGATCTCTAAGAACGGTCTTTCCAATGCACTATGTGGGGATCTTGAATTTCAAAATAGAAGATGTCAGGTTCATGAAAACTCAGAGTTTTGGAGGCAAAAACGCTAATAATGTATCGTTTCGGTTGACGAAGATAGCTCTAACGATATGCTTTGGACGCTTGATGAGAAATGTTGTCGAAAGAAGAAGGAGCTGGAATATCACTTTTTCTCCTTAACTAGGGATGCAACGGTGATGGTGGTCACCGGTGTGATCGGTCAACGGTTCACCGTTCACCGGTCTCACCGGTCCGCCGGTTCACCGTAGCACCGGTGCCACCGGTCCACCGGTCACCGTACCAACCGGTGTCACCGGTTCACCGTAGTAGCGGTGCACCGTTCACCGTTCCACCGGTACACGGGCACCGTAAGCACCGGTCACAATGTACTACAAATAAAGCTACTCAGGTTGATATTAGGGATGCAACGGTGACGGTGGCCACTGGTGTCACTAGTCACCGGTCTACCGGTGTCATCGGTTCAAACGTACTACGGTAGCTGTTACTAGAGATACACTAGCTCTAATTTTGACTTCCTTGTAATTGGAATTCGTTGAAGGCGCGAAGATGCCGTGACATAAACCGTCACTTCATGAGGTACTAGGTGACGGAAATTACTTGGAATTGATTCTCTCGTTAAGACAAGGGTTTTTAAAGGAAATAGCGATTTTCTATAAAGTTTGACCAAATGTTCTCCGGGTCGAGAAATCTGAATCTGCAATCAGTTTCTAAAAATTTTGAACTTGATTTTTTTACTAAACAAACGGTTTTTAAAGGAAATAGCGATTTTTTATAAAGTTTGACCAAAGGTTCTCCGGGTCGAGGAATCCAAATCTGCAATCAGTTCCTAAAAATTTTGAATTAGAATTTTTTATCAAATAAAGGGTTTTTTAAGAAAATAACGATTTTTTTATAAAGTTTGACCAAAGGTTTTCGGGGTCGAAGAATCCGAATCTATAATCAGTTTCTAAAAACTTTGAACTAGAATTTTTCATCAAAGAAAGGATTTTTAAGAAAATAACGATCTTTTATAGAGTTTGATCGAAGGATTTTGGGGCTCAGGAATCCGAATCTGTAATCAGTTTCTGAAATCAGACTCAAAATTTTCAAAAGCTGATCACAAGTACAAATTTCTCGATCCCAAAAAATTTTCGTCAAGCTTTATAAAAAGTTGGTATTTTCTAAAACACCTTTTATTTAGCAAAAAACATTAAGCTCAAAATTTTCAAAACTGATTACAGATTCGAATTCCCGACCTCGAATACTATCGGTTAAACTTTACAAAGAAATGGTTATTTTCGCATGATAGCTTTCCCTTGACAAAGAAACCAAATGCAGCCATTTCCGTTTTCCAGTAACTGATAAAGTACCTCTCTGTTCAACGGTAACTTTCCACCTGTAATCTGTTCGAATTCCGACTAATTCAAATTTCAATCCTTTGAAGTTCTATTTGAACTGACCAAGACCGATTCTAAGTCAGCAATCGAAGTTGGAGTTAGTACGTCTTTATCTGCTAGGATCCATCAGAGGTTTTCTCAAACTGGAGAAATTGATCGGCTCACTGCGGTATGCCTTAAAATAAGGCAATAAGTGCATGAAGTATACAGCGAAGACTGCTCTTTTCATACAGCTCGCATTTGCTCGGGTAAGCACACTTGAAATGGTAAAAGCTTCTTACAATGGAACCTTTTATATTGGTTAAGAAAGCTTTTAACCAATACAAAAGGTTCCATTGTTAGGAACATTTGTTAATGCATTTTCAAGTATCACGGGTAAAATCGGTTTAATCAGTGAACATGTGAAGAACCTAGGGTGGCGACCAGTTTTTGATGTTATGCAGCTGTCTCTATGCTAGTAGAAGGCGGTAGTGCTTCTCCACCGGTCATCACCATAGATTCGCGACTTCAGAAATCTACGGTGATGACTGGTTTTTGGTATTCTTGAGATTCCTCTATGCTTCTAGAAGTCAGTAGTGCCATTCCACCAGTCATCACCGTAGGTTTTCGATGCAGAAACCTGGGGTGATGACAGGTTTTGCTGTTATTCAGCTGTTTTTATGCCGGTAGAAGTCAGTAGTGCCTCTTCACTGATCGTCACCGTAGGTTTCTGCATCAGAAACCTACAGTGATGACCGGTTTTTGGCATTCTTGACATTTCTCTATACTTGTAGAAGCCAGTAGTACCTCTGCTAGCATAGAAACAGCTGAATAACACCGAAAACCGATCATCACTGTAGGTTCCTGCATCGAAAATTTACGGTGATGACTGGTAGAGAGGCACTACTGGCTTCTACAAGTATAGAGAAATGTCAAGAACGTTAAAAACCGGTCAGCATGGTAGGTTTTTGCATCGAGAACCTACGGTGTTCACCGGTGGAGAGACACTACTGGGTTCTACTAGCATAGAAACAGCTGAAGAACGTTAAAAACCACTCATCACCGTAGGTTTCCGATATAGGAATCTACGGTGATGACCGGTTTTTGGTATAATTCAGCTGTCTCTATGTTGGTAGAAGCCGGTAGTGCTTCTCCACCGGTCATCACCGTAGGTTCTTGGTGTAGGAACCTACGGTGATGAACGGTTTTGACGTTATTGAGATTTCTCTATACTTGTAGCAGCCAGTAGCGACTATCTACTGGTCATAACCGTAGATTCTCGATGCAGAAACCTGCGGTGATAATCGGTTTTTGATGTTATTTAGCTGTCTCTATGCTAGTAGAAGTCAGTAGTGCCTCTTCGCCGGTCATCGTGGTAGGTTTCAGCATCAGGAACCTACGGCGATGATCGGTTGCTGGCGGTATTGAGACGTTTTTATTGTAGTAGAAGCGAGTAGGGCCTCTCCACAGGTCGTCACCATAGTTTTGTCATGTTCTCACCAGCTTCACAAGTAGTCTTACCGCTTCTATCCCAAGTGTACGGGCGCGTCGTTTCCCATGGAATACTGTAATTAAGAAGAAGCTCCAACCATCAATGTTGAAATCGGTGAAGCCAATTAACGCATCAGGAGCCTATGGTGATGGGTGGGTTTTTCTTTTATTCACATGGTTTTCTGCTAAGAGAAGCCAGCGGTACTAATACATGGGTCATTACTGTAGGTTTTTCATGTTCTCACGGACTCCAGAAATAGAGATGAAACGGTGACGATCATTCACTGGTATACCATTAATGTTTCATCGATCCAAATCGATAACTGTAGGTACGATTATCGGTCTCCTACGATAGCCATAGGTATGGCTACCGATCCAAGTCGGTTTTCGCCAGGAAAACGATTTTTTAAGAAAACGACGGTCGTTTATCAAGCCAGACGAAAGTAAACGGGTCTCGGGAATCCGAATCTGGAGTGAGTTTTTCGAAATTCGATACTCGACTCTTTCGCTAAAGAAAGGATTTTTGCGGGAAATAGTGATTGTTAATAAACTGCTAGAAAAGATAACTGGGGTCGAGAAAACAAAATCTGAAATCACATTGTCGAGATATTAAGTGCAATATTTTCAACAAAAAAAAATTGTTTTTCTAAAAAATCATATTTTTGGTATGAAACTTTATTCCACAAAAAACCGTTTGTTTGCTAAAAAGTTTTTTCAGAAAAAAATCATGTAAAAAAATCGAGTACTAAATTTCGAAAAAGTGATTGCAGATTTGGATTCCTCGACCCCGATTTACTTTCGTCAACCTTTATAAAAAATCATTATTTTCTCAAAAAACACTTTGTTTAGTGAAAAAATCGAGTACAGAATTTTGAAAAACTGATTGCAGATTCGGAATCCTCGACGCCGATTTACTTTCGTCAACCTTTATAAAAAATCGTTATTTTCTCAAAAAAAAACGTTTTTTAGTGAAAAAATCGAGCACGAAATTTCAAAAAACTGATTGCAGATTCGAAATCCTCGACGCCGA